ACCATGTACTGAGAGTCACACAACATCACCTCTATGGCATTCTTACCAGAACTCCATAAGCTGAATTAAATCATGAAGAAACCTCAGACAAGCCCAAACTGAGGAACACACTACAAAATACCAGCCAGTACTCTTCAAAAGGTGTCAAGGTTGTGAAAGACAAAGACCAAGGAAGTTCTTAGTTAAAGGAGATGAGAGACGTGGAAAATAAATGTGATGTGTGATCCTGAATTGGATCCTACACCAAAAAGGGACACTGATGGGGCAGTTGGTGAAACCTGCCTAGGGTTTGTAGATTAGTTAGTAACACTGTATGGATGTCAATGTCCTGGTTTTGATCAAGTACTATGTCTGTGGGTGACAGTAGCATTTGGGGAACTAGATGAAGGGTATGCTAGAACTTTCTATTGCTTTTGCAACATTTTTGTAAGTCTGAAATTATTTCAAATGGAAAAGCCAAAAAATAAAAGTAAACAAAAGAAAGCAGGTAATTAATTGTCCGCTGCAATGAGTGCTACACAGAACAAAAAGGGAGCAGAAAATAGCAGAAGGGGGTGTTCGGCATCAACCTGCCTGGAGTTGTCATTTATCCTCAGACCTCAGTACAGAGGGAGAACTCAGCACAAAGCAGAGGGAAGAGAGCTCTGGCTAAGGAACAGCGTGTGCAACGGCCCTGAGGCAGGAAAGTTTCCTCCTTGTTCTTCCCTAGGAACACCCCATAGAGAAATATGGTGGGATGTGGCGGATGACGACGCTGGAAAGACAGAAAAGAAGTCCATGTGTAGATGGAGGCAGAAACTGGAGCGATGCATCTACAAGCCAAAGAATGGCTGGAGCCACCAGAAGCCGGAAGACGCCGGAAGGATCCTCCCCTGTGGCCTCAGGAGAGCACGGCCCTGCCCACACCTTGATCGCAGACTTCTGGCCTGCCGGCTCGGATAGAATGAAGTTGCGTTGTTTAGGTCACCCCGTCTGTGGTCTTTTGAAACAGCTGCTCTAGGACACACAGCCACTGTCCTTCTGCATTGTTGAGGTGCAGTGATGGGTTAACCTCACGCCTGCCCCCCTTCATTCTGTGCACCTCCCTCGGGCTATCCATGAGTCACTTATGCATTTACTTATTAAAGGTTATTCACTTAAAGCATTCCTTAATATTTTCAAATCAAGCACAGATCAACCCCCCTTTTAAAATGCAGTCTCGACCTCGGCAATGCGGACCACACAGCACCAGTTTGCTGCATTAACCATGGCTGCTTTTAACACCCTCTAAAATCAGTGCCTAAGCACTGGGATAAGTGCTTGCCGCCGCACCCGAATCACCTGGCACCCCTCCCGGGGCCGCAGTACAAGCCAGTTAGGACAGGAAAGATGACTGCTTTTCTGTTACGTTTTGCCTCCAAAAGAAAGATCTCCGAAGACCTGATGCTTCTCTGGCTACAAACCCCAGGTCTTTTCTCCACCTCCTCCCCTTTTCATTCAGGCCCATTCTTGTCGTGATCTTTGAGGAAAACACTCATTGTGGAGCTGGGTGTGAACCTCTCTGAGCCTACATTTTCATTTCTAAAATGAGGATCACCATGTCCACCGCACAGAAGTGCTCTGAAGGCTAGATAAGAGGAGGGCACCTGTTTTTAATGCCATTTCTAGGAAATACCCAGAATAGGCAAATCCATGGAGACAGAAAGCAGATTAGTGGTTGCCGGGCTTTGAGAGGAGAGAATGGAGAGTGACCACTGATGCGTACAGGGCCTCCTTTTGGGGTGATAAGAATATTCTGGAACCAGACAGTGGTAACAGCTGCACAGCATGAGGAATGGCCTAAAAGCTGCTGAATTTTACTTGTACGCTTTACAACAGTTAAAATGATGAGTTGTATGTTAGGTGCATTGCACCAAAATTTTATTTTTTAATTGGATAAGAAGCATCTGCCTGGGGAAGTGACTCCACCTCTCTGAACCTGTTTCCTCGTCTGCAGAATGGGGGCATGGGCAAAACCTATGCACTGGGTGGTCATGCAGATCACCCCAGCTGGTCCACAGATACGATGGGCACGTGGGATGCACAGACAGGCTGCTCCTTCTGGGATTGCTAGAAGGACTCGCCACCAAAATGCAGACGATCTCAGCCAAGTGCCTGTGCTTGGTAGAGTAAAGCAAGCATCCTTCCCCCTTAAGATCCCAGGCAGGCTCCATACGGTGTGGGCCTGTGTAGGCTGTTCCTGGCATTCTGACTCACAGTAACATGTAAAGGTTGGAGCAGATCATATTTTAAACCCCAGAAGCTTGGTCTGAGCAACTGGGCACTCTGGATGTAATTCTGCAGGTAATTTGAACGATGCTATCTAATTTCAAATGTCCCTGCTCTTATGAGTGCAAAAGCAGCATAATTTTTAATTAGTGGGTAAACAGTAAATAATGGATGGCGGTAAGTGGACACCGCTGTTAATTAAAAATCCATGGTTGATAAAAATCAATTTGGCCCATGCATTGAACTCAGTCTAACAGGTCCCTGTGAAAAGTTGTGCAATTGGCCCACAGCACCATCTGCTTTCAGATGTTCCTTTAGCTAAGACTTTTCAGGGGCGGGGCGGGGGGGGCAGGAAGAGGGGAGAGAAAGAAAAAAATCAAAAAGCTACCTCAAAAGCTGCAACAGAACAACTTGCCCGGATTCATTTGTAACTGGTTGATTTAATTTTTGCAACCTTTACATCGAAGCTCTGCAAACGGCCAAGAGGCGATGGTAGGCTCTGCTCTGGTATTTCCACAAAGAAGGTCTCCAGTTGTGTTTTGTGTTTGGTGTGTGTCTTGTTCTGAATACAGAGAGACTTCGTGTGGTCTCCTGACTTCATTAAATCATCGAAAAACAAGACAAACTAAAACACACTCAGCAGGAACATGCTGTCCGAGGATTCACAACCAAATGTAACATCTAGGCACCATCTCTTCTCGGTGCCTTCAGAGAGTACGGGGGGAAAAGGCCTGTTTTCTTTTCAACAGAAACATTTCCTCAAGAAACAGAGCTTCGTGGAGACAATGTCAATATAATTTTCAGGGCCCGTTTGCTATTTTGCTCTGAGACACAAGCTCGATTTTCAAGTGACACTGACCCCTTTGGTCCTTTGCTTCCCTCTGCTTCTCCAAATCAACATTCTCCAAATCAACACGTCCAGGTAGGTTTCCTTGACTCTGGTAATGTTCACATTAACCCGCAGAACGGAGTCCAGGGGACCCTGTGTCTCCTGACGAGGGTGCTTGCTGGAGCACGAGAAGGTTCCAGATGCTGACTCGGAGGCGTGCCCTGGCTCAGGATCCCTGATAGGGCCATGCTAGCCATTTGGCCCAATTTCAGTGCCCGCCCACACGCCATAACATCCTGCTTCTGGTCCTCCAGAAATGAGATGTGCCCAAGTTACTACAGAACTACCCATAAGCTTCTTTTTCCAGGCTCCCCTTGCTGTGCACCACCCTGAAGGGTGGCACTGAGAGCCCTCGGGCGGCCCGAGTGGCCACGTGTCCGTGTGGGGCCAGGTCAGCCCCAGCTGGCTGGGAGGGGGTTTTCATTTCTCCTATTTGGCTGGTTAAAACCAGGTAGGACACACCAGGAATATAGCAAGGACCCAGTGCCGGCATTTTCACATGCTTGCTCATTCATTCATTCCTTCATTCATTCAGCAAATTCATCCCCCCAAGTCTTGAAAACAGCACTTACCCCTTGCTGTGATGGAAGGAGGCCAACGGTGGAAACATCGGGCCAGTCTGACCACCTGGGCTTTGTCCTTTGTCACATCTGGGCAGCACGTGCCTGCCTGCGAGCAAAGCCCAGCTCACCCAGCCTGTCTCTCTGGCCCTGAGAGGAAGCTAATGCTCACGCCTGTCTCCGAGGGTTGTCGCAAAGATCATCAGGCAGCCACTAAAACCCGTGGGACACGGTTAACAGAAACCATGCCTGCCATCATGGCTGTGGTAGGCCGCACCTGCGCTTTTTCTGCAGGTCTCGGAGACCCCAAGAGTCTCCACATGAGACCCCAGGCCTCCAGGAAGTGAGGGATCTACCTGCCTCATTTTCCTGAGATGCTGCTGGGGTGCGGCACGTTTGGGGGCCACACGCCCCATTAGACAGCTGCCAAGGGACAGTGTGGGGACCTCAGGCTTCCCCAGGCCTTCTCCAGTGGCACCAGGAAGGTGTGGTGTGCGGTGGAGAAGGGGGCAGAGTGTGCCTTTCGTTTGCTTCTCCACGCGGCCCACAAGCCTTCCTGGGCCCCTGCCCCTGCCCCTCAGGGCCTGTGTCCCCAGGCCAGCCCCCAAACACTTGGCCCACAGGCTCGGTGGGAGGAAGTGCCTTTGGAAAGCCTGCTGCGGGGGCCAGCCAGCGGGTCAAGGCCGGCTGCCCCTGAACACAGCCCGTTGCTGTAATATTTGGACCTTGCTCGCCGCCAAGCTTCCCACACATCCCGCCATCTGGGTTATGTCAAGCCCAAGCCTCTGAGTGGAAATGACAGTTTCTGGGGAAATCGCTGCCCTTTAGCAGCTGAAGACCCTGGTGCTCTCGCCTTGGGATAGCAAGTAGAAGAGATTGAGCACAGTCCCAAGGCCAAGCCTGGCTTGTCTCCATAAGATGAGCACATGTGGGGGTCACTCAGGAGGGCCTGAGGCCCCTGCTGCTCACAGCCATCCTCCGCGAGCCTCCGATTCCTCCCCCGCCCCACCGTCAGCTGTGTGCATCAGCCTCAGTACCCACCACACATTTCCTGGGCACCACTATGTGGCGGGTGATGGCCTGGGGCCCGTGGTGTGCAGACAGACAGCACGTGGGCCTGGTACCAAGGAGGGACCATTACGTGAGTGGCCTCCAGAAGCAGGTAGCAGTTCTGGCCTGTTCCATAGGGCAGAAGTCAAGGAGGACCTGGGCTCTTCGGTGCATGGCGGGGGGCGGGGTGGGGGGAGGTGAAGTCCCACTGCCCCAGCACCTTATTCTGAGTCTAGAGGGCCCCTTGTCCTGGAATGCAGTCCTTCAGCCACCACGTGAGGCAGTGCCTGGCCACGGCAGGTGAGTCTTCGGAAGGTCTGACCCTCTGGGAGTCTGGCGTGGCCCAGTAATTCTCGGAGGCTTTCTAGCTCAGGAGCCCAGGGCCGCTCCCTCCAGGAGGCTAGTATTCCATGGGGGTCATGTCTGAGATCCAGGAGATGATGAGTCCAGATGCTGATCGAGGCACCCTGACTTGGGTGTGGCTAAGGTAGAGCTGGGCGCCCCAGGGAGGGGCCAAGGTGGAGGTAGAGGCAGACTCTGGCTGGCTCCCTGACCCTGCTGTGGTCCAGGATGGGCTGGGAGGGCAGGCCCGGCAGGCAGTTTCTGGAGTGCATCAGGATCACTCACTCATGTCTGTCTGCTTTGCAGCCCGCACTGCAGAGGCGACTGGGACTGCCGGGGGTAGCCGTGTACACTGGGAACCCCGCTGCCAACAGCCCCTGCCCAACAGAGCGCCCATCGCTGCACTGCTGCCCCCACGCCTCGACGGGCCCTGGGTCTCCACCAGGTAAGACCCTGATCACAGGCCCCCGGGCAGGGAGACTTCACCCTCTCTGAGCCTCAGCGTCCACACGGCACAATTCATCCAGTTGTCCAGGAGGCCCGCTACCTGCCCAACACGTGGCTTTGCCGGCCCCCCTCCACAGCCTGGCAGGCAGGACATGCCCCAGCCGCACGCGGCCATGGATGAAATCCGTGTGTGCAACATGCTGAGCACCCAGGATACAATACTTACTGAGTGCCCACTAGGCATGGGCGAACCACTGTGGGGACAGGAACCAGACATGCGAACACAGAAGTAAGTGTTGTAAATTGAGATGGTGCTAAGCTCTGCCATGAAGGACACAGAACCAAGGATGTGATAGTCAGTGACCGGGGTGGGGGCTTCTCAGAGGTGGTAACATTCAGTTGAGAGCTGAAAGAAGAGTCAGCCAGGGGAAGAGCTCCTCTGGAGAGGCTGGTGCAAAGGTCCTGAGGCAGGACGTGGCAGGCCAAAGAGGACCCAGGTGTCTTGCTTGTCCATCGAATTCTCTTCCTAACCAGACAGGCTTGCCTGACATTTCAGAGGTCCTGTTTGCTGCTCTGCGGTAATGGGCTTTGTGCTCTAACCCTCATCCATGGGGCATAAAATCTACAAGAGCTGTCTGAGTCCTCCCTCCTGGGTGAGGGAGAAGGGAGGCAGTGGCCTCCTCCACACCTAGTACATCCTTTCCTCCCCCGCCATCCCCTTGGGGCCAGTCCTGTTCTGGGGTCAGGGACTGGGCTCTCCACGTCCTCCGTGCACCTCCTGGGGTCAGGGAGAAACTCAACTGCCAAACATCTGTTAGCACTCTGGGTGGAGGGAGGGGACATGAGCTCTGTAAAGCCACTTTGGATGCGTTCCCAGGCTCTGCCCCCACCCTGACTGCACAGTCCAGGTAAGATCCAGGTGCCACTGGTGTGGGTCACCCCAAGACAGAACTGGGCTGTGGGGAAGGTCAGAACTGGGTGCAGTCTGCTTCTGCCCTGAGACAACAGCATTCCAGGACAGTTCTTCTAGAAACTTCTAGAACTTTCTTCCTAGAAAGTTCCTCTTCATGCTCTCCAGACAGGATTTGCTGCTTCCTGGAGGCAATGCAGGGAACGATCCAGAGTCTGGGAACCCCACTGAGGTGGTCCACTGTGGCCTGCTGCGTCCCATTAGCCAAATCTCTCTCCCCCAGCCCTGTCCAAGATGCAGGTGAGGACAGGACTTTAGCCCACCCTAAGGTGTATGAGTCACCCCTCTCCGTCTTCAACGACCTCCTGTACTGGCATTTCCTTACCATTTTTCTTTAAACCAGCTTGCTTTTGTTTACCTAAATATATTCATTTATTTTTCCAGCTTTATTGAGGTATAATTGGTATACAGTAAACTGCACACATTTACAGCGTACTATAATTATTTTTAAAGGAAGCGTAATATCACCTTGGATAGGGAGAGCAGAGCCACCTGCCATAAATAGGAGGTAACTGTAAAAAGAAAGTCAATGAAAACAAAACAACATAATTAAATTCTCGCTAGATTCTTTGCCTGCCTCAGGTCCTGAGTCTGTTTTCTCTGGGAGAAAAGGGAGGTTGGCGTTAAAGACACGTTAGCTCCAACAGAGACTTTCTCCTTAACATAATCAGAAAGATTGAAAGAAAAGAAAAGGGAACTGTTTTCGTGCTGGGTAAGAACACGTTTCCTCTGCTCCATCAGCCTTGCTATGAAAACTACTGAGAAGGTAACAGAAACGGTGGTGCGTGTTCACAGCGGCGAGTGAAGTGGGCCCCACCTGCTCTGTTTCCCCCTGGAACTCACCCAACATCCACCCCGTCTGCACCCTCGATGCAGTCTCAGAGGCTCCCCTGCCCCCAATCCAGGCTGCGGCCGTGGGTCTGGGAGTCATTCAGGTTCCCTTTGTGCTCAACCCCAGGCTGTGCTTTCTCCACCACCAGCAGAAGCCATCCTGGGGGCCAGGTCCAGCCCACCACCTGTTTTTTTTAAATAAAGTCTTATTGGCACACAACCATGCCCCACCCCACCGCATTTACTTATTGTCTCTGGCTGCTTTAGCTCTAGAGACTACCTGGCCCCCCAAAACAAAAATACTTATTATCTGACCCTTTACAGAAAAAGTTTGGTGACCCCTGGCTTAGATCAACAAGCTGTCACAGGCACGAATGAAACTTGGTCAGGGAAGTCAACCTAGCGAAGGGGAGACTGGATGTAACTGCCCATCAACCATGATTCCCTCAGTGAGGCCCCGGGGAGGGTCCGCTGGGTGCCAGGCTCTGGGCCAGGTGCCAGGGATCCATGGGGGAGAGAACGGGGAGGCCACCGCCTCCTCGAGCTCATGGCATGGAGCTCCCCAAATGGTGCAAAGGAGCCTCTGTTTCCTAAGCACCTCCTGGACACTGTGCCTCGCGCTTCCGGGAAACCCTGACTGTGGGTCTGATGTCCCCGTGTCACAGAGGAAGGAGCTGGGCAGTATCCACAGCTGCTGAGGGACAGGAATGGGATCTGAACCCAGGTCCTCTGCTACACAGTCTGGGTATTTCCTGGGCCAGTAGGTACTCACAGGTATGAGGACCTGCGCCACGAGGGAGGATGTTGGCTGAAGAAGCAATTAGGATTGCAGGAAGTAGAAGAAGGCTTTTGTGGAGGCCACGAAGCAAGTGGATGGCCCTTGGCCTCTAGGGTGGGGCTGAAACCACTCAGGGAAACTGAGGCTGTAGGGGCCGAGGTCTAAAATAGAGGCTATGGGAGCAGGAGCCCAGGACAGAGGGAGAGGGGCTCACCGTGCAGGTTCTCCCTGCTCTGCCCAACCCCCATCTCTCTCTCTCTCTCTGTCTCTCTCTGACAGCTGTGAGGTGCGCCCAGGACCCGAGTTCCTCGCCCGCTCCTACACCTTCTACCCCAACCGCCTCTTCCGAGCCTACCAGTTCTACTACAGGGACCCCTTCTGCCGGGAGCCTGCCCACTCCCTGCTCATCAAGGGCAAGGTCCGCCTGCGCCGGGCCTCCTGGGTCACCCGAGGTGCCACTGAGGCCGACTACCACCTGCACAAGGTGGGTATCGTCTTTCACAGCCGCCACGCCCTGCTCGATGTCACCAGGAGCCTCAACCAGACCTGGGCAGGCCGGGACTGTGCCCAGCGGCTGCCCCCAGCCCGGGCCTGGTTGCCCGGGGCACTGTATGAGCTGCTGAGCGCCCGGGCCAGGCGGGACTGCACAGAAGCCCTGGGCTTCACCATGCATGAGCTCAGCCTGGTCCGCATGCAGCGCCACCTGCAGCTGCGGCCCCGGGCGGGGCCCCGGCTAGTGGAGGAGCTATACCTGGGGGACATCCACACCGACCAAGTGGAGAGGCGGCATTACCGGCCCACGGGCTACCAGCGCCCGCTGCAGAGTGCCCTGGTGAGTCTGGGGCCCTGGGAGGGCGAGCTCTGAGCCCCAGCCCAGTGGGCCCTCTATGGTCTGGTCCCTGCCTAGGACCCTCTCTGCATCCCCAGGCTGGCCTGCTTACCTCAGGACATTTGCACATGCTGTTCCCTCTGCTTGAGACATCTTTTCTCAGGTCTTTACAGGGCTGGCTTTTTCCAAAGGAACCACTGCTCAGCTTGTCTGTGTCTGATCCTCCTGACATCCTTCTTGTGGGCCCCACAGGGTTCCTCCCTTCTGCCCCTGCTAGGCACCTGGGCATGGGCAGGTCTCTCTCAGTTCTCAGATCTCTCAGATTGTTCCCTCCAATCCCCACTCTGCACATTTTCCAGCACTCAGCTTCCCTGGGCTGCATGGTTCGTTTGTTAGTTGCTACCTTCTCCCCTAGAAGAAGACTCTCTGCAAGGGCGGGGCCCCGTTCTCTCCTGGGTTCCCACTCACGGCCCAGGGTCTGGCAGAGTCGGGGCAAATAAATGTTAGTGAATGAACAAGGGAGAGGTCAGCCCTCCTCCAGGGCTCTGCTGGACGGCCACAGAGCCTGTGGAAGTTTCCCCCAAAAGCTCCGTGTGGCCCTCTCTATTGTCTGGAGCCAGAGATGTTGAGTGTACCCCTTCACACGAATGCTGGGGAGAGCAGCACTCCTCAGACTCTGCTCTCAAGATGCCATCACCTGGGCATCTTCTGAGAATGCAGGGGCAGGTCCTGTGGGTCTGGGGTGGGACCTGGGACTCTGCATTTCCAACAGGCTCCCAGATGACCCATGGACTGCCCTCGGGGCAGGAGGCTGCCCTATAAAGGGAGATTTACTTCCTCCACCCCAACTCCAATGTGAATTTCACTTGAGGTGCTTAATCTCGATTTTAAATTAAGCGGTCACAAACACACCGCCCCCCACTCGGGGGAGATCTGGTAGCCCTTCCCTGCCTGATGAGCACACAGGCAGAAAGATCTGCGATTCATTTGTGTGATGTACTCTTGGCAAGTAGTGCAGCGCCTGGCCCACACGGCGGGGAGGCTCGGGACTTCTCCGGGGCAGCTGGTGAAGCCTCGGGACCACCCCCCACCCCCAGAAAAATGTCTGTAGGAGCATAAAATAAAACACATAGAATTTAAACAGAAACCAATTCAATTAAAACTGCTTACCCAAGTCTTAAAGCATTAATTTGTGACCCAGGAACACTAGGACTATGAAGCCTTTATTCTCCCTAATTGAGTGCAAACATGTTCCCAGTATCTGTAACACTGTTACTAGGAGACAGGCAACAAAGTCAGAGGTTCCAGAAGTTACAGAGGTTTGTTGCCTACACTGGCAATTACAAGAAAAGTTAACTTTTATCAGTTAGGGTTTATTGAAACTGAAGTCAAGGTAGGATGCCATGTGAAGAATGTCTCTACTAAGTACCCAAGGAATATTTTTCAAAAGTGAGAACGAACAGACTGGATGCATGAGTTCAGGAGCCCGTCAAGTGAGCCCTTAGGCGACCCTCACGTCATCAGCATGTACTGAGTGCCTACTGGGTACTCAGCATTCACTAAACCAGATGGGCAACTTCTCACATCTGGGAGCAGCTGCTCATTAGGACCCCAAAGAAGGGCACTAGGGATGAGCCCCGCTGCCCTCTTCTCCTCTCCCACCCCCTCCTCCCAACCCAGGATCTGGGGAGCAGAGAAGAAGCACAAGAAGTTCTCATAATCAGAAAATCAGCCCGAGTTCTTTTCATGACCTCAAAATCGTTCCCTTTTTGGCAGGCAGTGTTCTAGGCTGGTCTGACGTTAATCCTACTTAGGAGAAGGCACCAGCAGTGGGGTGATTACCGGCGCCCACCACCTCATTAGGAGGGCAAACTGCTCTGAACACAGAAAGGACGGACCCCCGGGGCGCTGCGGATAACAATTTTCATGTCTCCCCAGGGCTCTGGGGCCGCAGACCCCTGCCCTCCTGCTGCCTGACCAGCCAGCGCGGCCAAAGCAACCTGCCCCGTGATCGAGAAGCAGAGCGGGAATGTGTGCATAGATGAACAGTGCCAGATGCACAGACATTAAGTTAAATATCTGCTCAGCAACTGCCCCCTCCCCGGGAAAAAAAAAGAAAGAGACAGACAGAATTTCAAAGAAGAAAATGCTGCAGATAAACCCCCAAGTAACGAATTAGTCGTTACCTTATGCTCTCTGGGGTCCAAGCCTTGCCCATGACCCAAACCAGATGGTAAACACGAACATTTTTAGAAGTTAATTTAAAACCAATTTGATCCCCAAATTCATTGCCTGGATGTAGAATCCTAATCAATCAGCCAACACTCGACCAAAATCATCTAAGCCTGGTGTCACCTCTGGGGGTTAATTAGAAACTGTTATGTGCTGTTTGAGAAATAACTTTATGTAACAGGTTTGAACCAGTAAGAGTTTGGCTCCTGCACAAGTGTGAATTCTGCTGGCTGGGGCCTTGTTTATTAACCCGTGCATCTCCAGACCTCTGCAGAATGATGCCAGAAAGGGTTTTCATCTTCCATCCCCTTCGAACACATTGGAGGAAGAGATGCCTGTTCTCTCTCATCTCTCACCTGAAAGGCTCACTAGCTCTCAATTTGTTTCTGTTACGCAGAAATGCACTTGCCCCGAATTACCAACCAGTATCTCAAATGTCCTGCCTGCAGAAGATCTCTCTTTTGCGGG